TCTGCTCTAACTCAATGAGCATGCGCAGTGTACAAAATCAATTAATTAATAACAAATGAATAATTAATCATAATAATAATCCTAACATACTCCCCCGTTGACTAGGCAACTAGTCAAGATAACAATAATAATTCATAATAATAACAACAAATATTATGCACATAATTCGCACACCATACTAAATCCCAAACAATGCACTTAATTTTGCACAAATAATAATAATAATACAATTAAGCTCACAATATTTAATACATAAATTAATTAAATTAAAGATACAACAACTCACAACATAATGGTACATTAATGATACTTATTTTGTATGGACTGGGCCAGTATCTGGTCTCGAGCTGTTACTGCAGCTGACCTTCTTGACCTCCTTGGCTCAATCGTTTCTTCTTCCCTTTCCTCTGTCTGTGATGATGGATCGGGATCATTAACTGTTGTATCCTCATTGCTGATGCAACTACGTGAGTAGCTATGAATATTGATATTATCATTAACCTTCAGTGGGTACAATTTCTGCACTTAAGAGCTTTGATTGCCTTCCTCCTGTGTACACACGAATCACTGCTACTCGAATCTTGCCATCCTTTCCAATAATAGTCTTCTCAATCTTTGCCAAATTCCAGAATCCTCTACCTCTTTCGTCACTATGAACCATAACAATGTCACCAACTGCAATCTCTATCCCATGTCTACCACTAATTCCATAACGATGAGCTTCACGTAGCTCCAACAAGTATTCAGTTCTCCATCTATTCCAAAACTGAGTCAATGTATGATCAATATACTTCATTCTTCTTGTCAAAATAGACCTATTGACTTCAAATTCTTCATCATCATTGTCACTGTGACACAAATTGTTTGGAATGCTTAAGAGACGACGTCCTATTAATAAGTGTGATGGAGTTATAGCTTCATAGAGATCTTCAGATGACATATATGTAAGTGGTCTGGAATTGACTATCATTTCAGTTTCTAGTACAATAGTAAGTAATTCATCGTATGTAAGTCTGGCTCGACCAATGACTTTCTTCAGACACCTCTTGACAGACCTGATCAGTCTTTCAAAGACCCCGCCCCACCAGGGTGCTTTCTCCACGTTGAAGACCCATCGTATCTTAGCTCCTTCCAATTACTGATCAACATCTTGGTGATTCATGATCTCCTTAAATATCTTAGCAGCTCCTTTGAAGGTCTTCGCATTATCAGAGATAACTCTTTCAGGCAGTCCTCTTCTGGCTACAAATCTTCTGAATGATCTAAAAAAATACTCAAGAGACATATTGGTTAATAAATCTAAATGAATGGCTCACGTTACGCAGCACGTGTAGAGACAAAGCCAAGCTTTGCTCTCCGCGTTCTCAATCCCCCCTTTTATATACAATGGACCTGTGAAATCAACTCCAATGTAAGTGAATGGAGGATTCTCACTGACTCTAAATGCAGGTAATGGTGGTGGATCTGGAGCACTGTAATGCTTTCCTTCTGTCTTTCTGCATACAACACACTGTCTAAGTATCTTCCTGATTACACTTCTCTCCCTCATGATCCAATATTTAGCTCAAACTTCGGCTAATGTTTCCCTCACTCCGTTGTGAAACACACGCTCATGACATCTCAAAATTATCAGCCTTGTAAAATAATGCTCTCCTGGTACCAGTATAGGATGTTTTGTACCATAAGGAATGTTTGCATTCACAATCCTTCCACCACATCTCCAGACACCATCAGGATCTTTAAACAACTGTAACTGTTTTCTCTCATTCTCAATCTCAATCTCTCACATAATGTAGACTGAACTTCTTTCACCCAAAATAGCTCTCCTTTAGCAATACATGAACTGAACTCTCCTTCACTCAGGTTTTCTCCCAACACCTTCTCACGTAAAATATAATAAACTGGAACACATATGCAGTGACTCTCAATAGCTTCTCCAAATTACTATACTTCTCAATATTGATGAGTCACGCAATCACGTTGTTCTCAGCTAATAAACCACACTCTCTACGCTCATCTGCTTTTAATTCTGACACACACTCTTCAGGAATACCCAAATCAACTTCATTCAATCCTTCTCTCTCAATAAGCCATCTGGGCCCTCTCAACCACATATTGTCATTCTTTAACTCCTCCATAGTCAGCCCTCTTGAAGAGATGTCAGCTGGATTCATTTCTCCAGGACAATGTTTCCAACACACAAATGGGACCAGACTCCTTATCTCTCGAACTCGATTCTCCACAAATGGTTTCCAGCTCCTTCCTACTCCTCGTATCCAATAAAGAACTACCAGAGAATCTGTATAGCAAACTGGATTACTCAGCTCAATATCATCGCGTAACGCAACGTTAACGCTCTTCATTAATCGTACCAAAAGCAATGCTGCTAGCAACTCCAGTCGTGGAATACTGTGCTCTTTCAATGGAGATACATGAGTCTTTGATGTTACAAATGCCATTCTCCTCTGACCATCATCTGTGATACATAACATGTAGATTACTGCCACATACGCTCGCGTGGAGGCGTTGCAGAATCCGCAAAGCTTAACTTCTGCTTTCTCGCTACGTGTGTCGCGAAAATAATGTCTGTTTATGAAGATAGACTCACTATCTTTGATACTATTAACTATATCAGTCCATTTCTTCCGCATGCTACCTGAAATCTGTTCATCCCACCCAATCTTCAAACAATGTAGCTCCTGCAGAAATATCTTAAGTTTCACAGTAACTGGAGATAATAGACCTACAGGATCATATACAGCTATAACTTTACTTTTACATGCTAGATCTCCAGCACGAGGTGCAGGTGGCGCTAGTGAAGAATCACTATGCACGTACACACTACAATAGACTGGTGCACCACAGAACTTGATAAGATACATGATGTACATGACAAATACATGATACAGGTGCTCGCATGTGCCTTGCACTAGTGTGCGTTGAGTGTATAGAGAAGCTGCACTAGTGGCGGTACTGTACTTTACTAACAATACTAACAATGTGACGCTTGGTAGGATTAAAAATATTCGCTCCATCTACAATTGGCTTCAAATCCATCACTATCTCATCTGTGCTCAAATTCCAATTAATTCCCAATACTTTGCTCAACTCCCCCGATGAATTAGGAGTGTTATCAGCATCAATTTGGCTGGATACAAATTTACGCAAATTAAATCCGTCTTCCTTCAAAATAAGCTTAAAATCTTCAAAAAGTTTGAGTACTTCTTCAACAGTCCTTGCTCCACTCACCACATCATCAATATACATGGATCTAACTAACTTCTCTACTATAACAGGATGAGTCTCTCTGTAGCACTCTATATGATACCTAAGGGTAGCATTCAGCAAAAATGGGCTTGGAGCTACACCAAATGTAACTCTTGCAAATCTTAACACTACAACTTCATAGTTAGTTTTCGATATATCTCTCACCCAAAGGAATCTCAATGCATCCCTATCTGATTTCTCAATTGCAATGATCAAAAACGCTTTCTCAACATCTGCTGTAAATGCATGTGCATGCATTCTAAATCTAAGTAACAATTCAAATATTCCTTGACCAAATTTGGGCCCTACATGCAAGCATTCATTTAATGAGGGACCCTTATCCTTAGCAGAGGCATCATAGACCACTCTCACTTTAGTAGTCTCTTTGTCTTGCCTAATTACGGCATAAGGAGGTAGATAATGAATCTTATCCCCATCAGCTTCCTTGGGATTCTCAACAACTTCTACAATACCATTATTGACTTGGTCCTGAATGACCCTGTCATATTCAACTAATAGTTTGGGATCATGCTTCAAACACTTCATTAAAGGGACACGTTCACGGAAATAGAATGCACACGTTACTGTAGAGGAAGTAAACATTAAATTGGGCGTGCAACAGATCATTAATTAATAGTTATGACACGTGTTTAGACACGCGTAGAGAGTAGAGACAGCAATCAGTCGCAGAACCAGGAGTAGGTATCTGTAGAACACTTCTCTCGAACAGAATTAGCTCTTTTGCCACCCCAAGATACTCTTTTTAGTGAAGAAACACCAGGAATATTTACAAGTAGCCACTCGAGTAGCCATTTTGCCTTAATTATTAGGGGGCGCGGCCGCACGTTATGAATAGTTATCAACACTAAACGTCATCATTAATGATGTCATCTTGAAAAACGGGCCAGTTTTTCAAGATGACGTGCTTCCGTGCATGTGTCCCTTTAAGTTATTTAAACGCCTAAGGCTAAGCTCATAATTATTGGGTATTTCTAAGGCTGTATCCTTCCAAGGAAGTGATACTTCATAATGAATACCATCAAACTTCACTTGACTACAAAACTGATCATATACTGTAGATTCCCTTCTCTAATACCCAATGCCTCTAATTCCCAAAATTGACACAATTGCTCTTCTAATGAGGACTTTTCCTTACTCACAGTAGTAAGTACATGAGTGATTAATGCAGTAGGCTTGGAAACTACTGGGCCTCAAAGCAACCAACCCAAACTAGAATAAATAGCAGTTGGACCCCTTTTCCCTTGTATGACTTCCCCAGTAACAAATCTCCAATAATAATCTAGCCCAACCAATACATGAAATTCTATTAATTCTCCTTCATTTATCTCATCAGCTAAATTGAGACCCTGTAAATGCTCATAGGTTTGAACACATTGACTTAAAGAGACCCCAGTTATGGACTCACAAATAATGGGAATAGTTAACTTCATACCAACCCTTTCACCATCTCTCGTCTCTACATTCACTCTCACTATTTCACAGGTGAACCCTTTGCTCCCACAGGCTCCAAAGGTAGTTATATTCATATCTCTCTTACCACTAACTCTCAAACACAATGCTCTTTTGGCTCTCTCAGTAATGTAAGACCTTTGACTACCACTGTGAAATATAAGTCTCAATTCCTTTATATCTTGGCAATTGGAATTTTCCACAAATGCTTTGGCAGTCTGTAAAAGTATTAGGCCACTTGAATCTGTCAACAAGGAAGAAGACTTAAAAGGCTCTGCTTTGGGATCAAGACTCCCCTTTCTTTGATCAGATTCCCTTGTACCTTCACTCTTTTCACCACTCAATTTAAAACAAATACTATTGTGATGTCTCTCTTGACAATGTTTACATTTACCACCCAATCTACAGTTTCTACTCACATGTCCCTTCTTTAAACACACAAAACATCTACTACCACTATCACGTATAAACTGGCACCTGTCTTCAGGTTTTGAAACCTTCAAACATGATTCCGATTTGTGATTGCCTTCGCAATAATGGCAGCTATAAACACGTGAGTGTAAGGCAGCGGAAGTAGGCTTGAAAGAAGCACCTTTATTATGGCTACGATGCTCATCGCTTGTCTTCTTACGCTCTGATGCTGTACGTTCTCTAGCCCGAAGCTCATCTGAAAGTTCTTTCATAATTCTCTCCAAATTCCATTCATCTTCTGGTATTCTTCGGCTAATTGCTAAACATAATTCATGAGGAAGCTTCTTCATCAATAATGATGGCAGCAAACTATTATAGGCTTCTGGGGCAACACCTAACGCTACTAATTCACGTGTATGCGTTTCAATTTTATCAAACAAAAATCTCAACCCGGTAGTATTGCCTTGCCACGTGACTGCTTCAAGATTTAATAGCGCTTCCATGTGTCACGAGATAATCCGCTCTTTCTTTCCAAATCTGTCTTGTAATACCCTTACAGCTTCCTTATAGTTAGCAGAGGTAAGAGTTAAGCCTGCAATAGACTCCTTTGCTGTTCTGCTCACAAGTGTCTTCAAATAAGTAAACTTTTCTACATCAGAGAGCTCTGAATTCTGGTGAACCGCTGTATCATAGGAATCCCAGAACGTCATCCATTCCGTAACATCTCTGGAAAACACAGGTAGATTTAACTTCGGCAACTTTGCCCTTCCGGAATGACTCCCCTTGGTTGCTCCCTGAACCTCAGCAATACGACTCAATGCCACTAAAACATTAGATATGTTTTCATTAAATGTGTCTGCATCTTCAATCTCTCTAATAACCTCGTCTCCGTCATCTATCAAATCTACAACTTCTTCATCTTTTCTTTTCAACGCTTCCAATTTCTCTTTCAATGACAATCTAAGTTGAGCTACTTGCACTTCATCTGCAATGGCACCTCCCTTTACTTCTTCTAACAGTTTCTCAGCTTCAGCTAGTCTTCTAGTTACAATCCCTCTGTGACCGTCTCTTATCTTCTTTTTCTTGGCCAAATCCGCCATCTTTAATTATATGCGCTCACGTGACACGTGTCAAATAATTATTAAAATAAAAGAGTCAACAAAAGGTCAAAATAGTAATTACAAAAATTATACAAAGCTCAAAATGACTAGCGACTACTCTATG